GATGTCTCAAGCGAAACGTGCCGGACCACCTCTCGCGCGGCCTCTCAGAGCTCAGATTTAGGAGGATGTCTCAGGCGAAACGCTCAATCCCGGACAACTCAGAAACGAGAGTTGTGAGGATGTCTCAGGCGAAACGGGCCGGACCACCACATTTGTTTGAGGATGTCTCTGCTTAGCTTTCCCTCGGCCGGAGTTAGCTTCTATCACAACAGCACCCCGCTCAGCAAGCTGTTTGGGGAAAAACGATTACCATCTATTTAGGGCGTGAGTGGTTTAGATTCGTCTTCCAACCCCCGTTTGCCCCTTTCGACCCTATGGAGGAGGAGGAGGAGGAGGAGGAGTGCGATCAGAAATGCCAGAGGCCTCTTGGATGCCTCCTCGAGTCTCTTCGGCTTTCTTCGCGAGGTTCTTGGAATCCTCTTGGGGCATCTTGGGGGTCTCTTGGCAGTCCCGGGGGCCTCTTGGGGCGTCTTGGGTCCCTCTGGGAGGCCGCTTGGAGCCTCTCGGGGGCTTGTTTGGATCCTCTTTGGGAATCTTGTGGGCCTCTTGGGTGCCTCTTTGGGCCTCCTGGGCACCTCTTGTGGCCGTAGTGCACCCTTGGGAGCCTCGGTGGCCAAATTGCGGCCATCTGGGAATAGATCGATCAAAGGAGAGGGGGTTCCTTACTCAGGGCCCCTCCCCCCGGAGGCCCGCATGTTGCTAAAACCTTCTCGCCGAGGCCTCTTGGGGCGTCTTGGGTCCCTCTGGGGGTCCATCTTGGGGCCTCTTGAGTTTTTGCTTGGGAGCCTCTTGGGGGCATCTTGGGCACCCGAAGAGGAGGGGAGGGGGAGTGGAAAAAGGGGGAGGGGAGGAGGAGGAGGAGGAGGAGAGGAGAGGATGAGGAGGTGAGGAGGAGGAGGAGAGGAGAGAGAGGAGGATGAGGAGGAGGAGGAGAAGGGGGAGGGGAGGAGGAGCAGGAGCGAGCAGAGGAGAGGAGTAGAGGAGGAGGGGAGAGGAGGAGGAGGAGAAGGGGGGGAGGGCGAGGAGGAGGAGGGGGAGGAGGAGGAGGAGGAGGAGGAGGAGGAGGAGGAGGAGGAGGAGGAGGAGGAGGGGGAGGAGGAGGAGGAGGAGGAGGGCCTCGGCCTCAATGGGGTTTCCCCGACCTATCGGGTGCGCAAAGAACAGGATGGCTCGGCGCGCCGCGGCGAGGGGGCTCCCGCGACGAGCTGTGTCTTGCAGGCCTGGGGGCCACGTCGCCCCTGCTTCGTGGCGCCAGGCGGCTGGGACCAAAAGCTCGGAGAGCTGATGCCTTGGAGACCGTGGGAACGCTGCGATGCAAGAGCAACACACGCTCAAGCCTGTCGGGGGGAGGACGTGGAGCCGGAAGGCTGGGAGAAAAAGCGTGGAGCTTTGATGCCTTGGAGACCGTGGGCGCGCTTCGATGCAGGAGCACCACACGCTCAAACCCAGTCGACCCGTTTCCTGAGCACGCGTGATGATGATGCAAAGGCCATGGCAGGCCATTTCGAAGCATTTCGAGCGGGGCGCGCCCAACGAAAGTGGCCAAGGATGGCCCCAGGAGGCAAGAATGCAAGGGCACCCTTGGGAAAGTTGCCCATCCTTACCATGCGGGTTGACTGTATCGGGGGGGGGGAATGGAGGAGGCAAGGACAATGGTGCGGGCTGATAAGAATGGGCGCGGGCTGTCGGACCCCGACGGAAACTCCCCGGAAACGGCGAAGCTTTTTGTTGTTGCACCGTTTTCAAAACACACGTCTTTTAATAATGGAAACGGTACCCCGAAAAAGGCGACCGGAATCGGCAAGAAGGCAGCTCCGCGATCGGAATCGGAACCGGGACCAAACAAAAAATAACGACGGAACCAGGAACAAAAAACGGCGACGGAACCGGAAAGGAAACAGCAAAGAGGAACCAGTAACAAAAAACCTGCCTTGTCGTCTCCAGGGCCCACTGGCGGGGGGGGGCATCCGACAACGTATGCCCATAGCCCCCCCAAAAGGGATTCCATCCCGAGGGACGTAGACTTAGGTCGGGCGTGTCCTCCTACAGGGGCATTTTAGACGACAGATAGAAAAACACTCCAAACATACTCCAACATGGTAAGAAACAGTCGGAGCATCGTCCCAAGACTGTTTTTTTTACAATGTTTGAACAGCCCTCCTGTACAGGAACGTGCCCGGCTTAAACGTAAACGGGGTCGTCCGGTATGGGTGCTGTAGCTGCCCGCTCCAGGCTGCTTCGCGTGGCGCGCCGGCGCTCGGCGGTGGATCGGCGGGGCCGGCACGGGCGGCGTGGAGCACAAACAGGCAAACGCCCATGGCCGGAAGAGGCCCCCCCCCCCACCTGGATCTGCCGGCGGCGCGCACAAGGGGATACGTGTAGGGGGAGGGGGGAAGGCTTCTCAGAAGGAGGCTGCCTCTCTGAAGGCACGGGCCTTACATCTGCAATCAAGGCCCGCCGCTTCTAAGAAGCAGGGGTGCTTCAAAGGAGCCTTCCCCCCTCCTCCTACCCCCCTCTGCGCGTGGCCGGATCTAACGGAGGAGGAAAATCCGCACAGACAGAACCCTCTGCTAGCGAGAATCGCACCCTGGGGGTCATCGGGCTCGGGGCCCTGGGAGGAGGAAGTTCGCCCCAAGCTCGATCCCCTCCCCTCTGCGCCTCTCGTGGCAAGTGGAGCCCACAGGCACCCTGCAGATCCAGGGGGGTGGATGGGGGGGGTCGCCTGTATTCTCCGCGGCATGCGGCTCAACTTGCGGAGGCCTGGGCAGAAGTCGTGCTGATCGGCGCGGGTGGCCCGCTTTCCAGAGGCGCGGGGCAGCGCGCCGCGGGGCGCGCAGAGCCGAGAAATCCGCGCGGACCTCCGACAGTTCATTGCCTTCTCTCCTTCGATCGGGGAGACGCGCAGTAGGGGCCCTACCATGAGAAACCTTCCACGAGAAACCCGATCCTGAGACCACAGGACGCCCACTGGTTCTCGGTGTGGGAGCGTCACGCCGTCCATCGCATAACCATCGAAACCCAAGAAACCCAGGGCATCCTGCAGGCAAGCAGGGTGTTTCTTGGCATGGGCCCCCACTGGAAGACTGGGGTTCGAGGAACTCGGGTTGGCCTGACGGGGCCGTCAATGAAAGCGACGAGACACCACCTGAACGTTGACGCGACCTCCCGCTACAAACCTTCCGCGACAACCGGTCCGACAAAATCCAGGACGAGTGCTCGTCCAAAAACGTCGGCAAGCCCGACTTCCAGCAGCCTGCCGGCGCTCCTTCCGCGACTCCTGCAGCACGTCCCTGGAGAGCTCCGCGCGAAAATGGGTGGCAGATCCGCGCCTGCTCCAGACGCCTGGAACCCAGGTGCTGGGCAACGGCACTGGGGCCTTCCCCCAACTGGGGCCTTCCCCCAAACCCGGCGACCACCCCCCCCCCTCCCCCTCCTCCTCCTCCTCCTCCTCCTCCTCCTCCTCCTCCTCCTCCTCCTCCGCCTCCGCCTCCGCCTCCTCCTCCTCCTCCTCTCCTCCTCCACTTCCTCCTCCTCCTCCTCCGCCTCCTCCTCTCCCGCCTCCTCCTCATCCTCCGCCTCCTCCTCCTCTCCCCCTTCCTAAGAGTACATCTGAGAAGCGGGAACTTCCGTCGCGCTCCGCAGACACTGCCAGCCTGCAGTCCAGGAGAGTGCGAAGAGACGTGCGCACGGGCGCGCCGCGGTGGTCATGGCCTGCAGGGGAGTGGTGGCGCCCGCTGGGAAGCACGTGGCAAGACTCCAAAGTTGAGAGCGTGTAAACGGAGCTTGAGGAGCGAGTGGAGGGCCAGGAGCTCCGAGCGAGCCCTCCGAGAAAGAGGCACACAATGGGCAAAGTATATATATATATACATGTGAGAGAGAGAGAGAGAGACAGAAAGAGACAGAGAGGGAGTGAGAGACAGAGGGAGAGAGAGACAGAGAGAGATAGATAGAGAGAGAGAGAGAGAGAGAGCGCGTCGACACCGCTTGCGAGGCATGCAAATGTACCCCGCTGTCGGGCTTGCCGTTGGTCGATGGAGTCCGGTGCGTGCGGCTCGTGGGAGGACTGGACTGGACTGGACTGGGCTGCAGTCGGGGCCGACTGGAGAGGACACGCGGGAGGATACACGACCCTTATGCAGAAGGTATGGGTCGCGCCGCACAGGACACCAGGGTACCCTTGATTTGGCAGGGGTCGACCTACTAATCAGCCTCGACTGTATGTATGAACAGGTCTCCAATGTCTCACGAAAGGGCAGAACTGCACGCGCAACGCTATGTTTCGGTCGGGCACGTCCAACTACAGGTGGATTCTGGACGGAAATTGAAGAACAGTCTTAAATGAATACAAAAAAATCGAAATAAGCAAAATCATCGCCTGACTATTCTTGGACGCTGTGTCTAGCTTCCTGAGGCCCTGACAGTCGGGCCGGGCGAAAGGGGGGGATAGCAAAGGGGGTGTTTGAGAATCAGCTCACCTAGCCGATTTTTCTGGCGCCTCCCAGCGCAGGGAGGCGCCCATGTATCGAGGAATGGGCCCGGCGGCGGGGCCGAAACCAGCTGCAGGCAGCAGATTCCGTACCCCCCCCTTTCCCGATCCCCCCCTTTCGCCCGGCCCGAGACCGTCGGGCCAAGTTCGCCTTTCACTGCGACAGGGGGTCGCGCGGGCGCGCACGAGCGCGCTCGGCCCAGCGGGCACCCGCGGGCGTGCACAGACATGCTGGGGAGGCCTGGCGGCGATCGCGCCGAGCCCGACGCGGAGAAGGAGGAGGAAGAACGAAATCGGAAGAGACGGGGGGGCGAGCGTCCAAATGACAAATGAGAAGGAGGAAGAGAGGGATGAGGAGGAGGAGGAGGCCGAGGAGGAGGAGGAGGAGAAGCAGGAGAAGAAGGAGGAGGAGGAGGAGGAGGAGGAGGAGGAGGAGGAGAGTGAGGAGGAGGACGACGACGACGACGAGGACGGAGGAGCGATGAGGAGGCCGGGCGCAGTCTGGGGCCCGGTCCACAGCCGCGGGGCCCGCCCGCGAGTACTCCGAGACCACCTGGGGCGCCGCGCGGTGCGCGCGGATCGGTGCAAGAGCACCAGGGCGGGGCGGACGGAAGGGTGAGGGACGACAGGGGGCATAGACGGAAATCATCGGGCGCGTGGTAGTGGGGGGTGACCCGCATGGGGGGTGAAGAACAGATCCCTAGATGGGACCCTTGAGGGCCCCTCCTGGGCACCAGGCTGGGTCCAAAAGGGGCACTGAGAAAGACCCCGTCTGGTGCCCTGTTCTGTTTTACTCCCACCTGGGTCCCCCCCCGGACTGCCCTTGCCTTCACCCCCCACTGGGGTCCCGCCCCAATGCCACCCGCCCGAAAAATCAAGACGCAGCTCCCGATCTCCGGCCTCCGGGGCCCTCCGCCGGGACCGGGGAAAGCCGTCACCAGGCGCCTGAAGGTCGGCAAGCTGGGCCCTGGGAAGAGGGGTCGAGACGTCCCAGAGATCCAACGCATTGAAAAAACCAAGACGGAGGTTTTCTCAACTTTCGGCCTCCAGGGGCCCTCGCCGGGCTCCGGGACCGTCGAAAAACAACTCAGGATGAAAAACCGGTCCTGGGGAAGGGGTCGAGACTTCGGGGGGACCGCGTATTGAAAAACTCACGACGTCGGATCTCTGGGTTCTGGGGATCCCGCACGGAGCAAGCCATGCGCAGAAGGCATCTGTACACCACCACCGCGGCTTGCCAGGGCCAGCCTGGGCCCTGGCCTGGTGTATACGCCCGCCTGGCCGTTGCCAGGAGGGCGTATACACCAGAGTGGGGCCCAGGATGGCTCCAGCCAGGCACGGTGGTGGTGTATGGATGCTGTCTACGGGAACAAAGACGGCGGATCTTTGGGTCGAGATGCGCCCTCATTCGGCACGCCCCTGGCACAGTTCGGGCGGACGGCAACGAGGGGGGCAAGAAGCGCAGGGGGATCGAGGATTACAGGATGCAGGAAGAAAAAAAAAAAGAAAAAACAAAAAAAAAAAAACAAAAAAAAAAAAAAAAAAAAAAAAAAAAAAAAAAAGAAAAAAAAAATTAAAAAAAAAAAACAGAAACGACAAAAAAAATATAAAAAAATAAAAAAAAAAAACAAAAAAAAAAAAGGGAAGATGGCCCTGCCCTCCACCTCTACCTTCCGTACCTTCCAACCTCCGCGGAAAGTGCGGACAAATTCATCGAAACTCCTGGAAACCGTACGCAATTCAAGACAACCGATATATATATATATATATATATATATATATATATATATATAGATCACATCGAAGACGGGGCTGAAGGTTAGGGCAGAAGGTCCGGAATAATGAGGGGGAGGGCAAAGGGGACCTCAATGGCCCCACAAGTTCGGGCGACGCAAATTAGCCCGGCGAGAGACCCAACCATATATAGATGTGCGCACTGTCGTTGCATGCGCCACATCCGCTGGAGCTCCCTTTGAGGCAGCCAAACGTGTGAAGGGTGTGCCACAATGGGTGCAGTGGGCGAAGGCAAGCACTCCCACCAGCCCTCTGGGCGTGGGTGGTTTAGGGAGTTTCCTCTTCCAACCCTCCTTCTTCCCCTTCGGGGAGGGGTTTACACCTCCCCCTACCCCCTCCCCTGGACCTGGACGGGGGGGGCCGCTGGTCGGCAGAGCGTCCAAGATGGCCTCGGCGAGGAAGCCAAAATCATTGATTTTACTAAGGTTTTGACCCCACTTTGGCCTCCTGAGGGGGCGACGCTAATTCCCCCCCCTTCTTTGATAGATCCCCTCCAAGATGGCCCCAAAAAACGCCCAGGAGGCCCCAAGAGGTCCCAAGATGGCCCCAAGATGGCCCCAAGAGGCCCCCAGGAGGCCCCCAAGAGACCCCCAAGAGGCCCCAACAGACCCCCAAGAGGCCCCAAGAGGCTCCCCGTGATACGCAAGAGGCCCCAGGACCGCCAAGAGGCCCCAAAGACGGGCCAAGAGGCCCCAAAGCTCGCCATTGTCCTCCTCCTCCTCCTCCTCCTCCTCCTCCTCTCCCCTCCTCCTCCTCCTGTCCTCCTGACACGTAGCCGCCCTCCTCCTCCCTCCTCCTCCTCCCCTCCTCCTCCTCCTCCTCCGCCTCCTCCTTTTTTTTCTTCTCCCATCTCTCTCCTCCTCCTCCTCCTCCTCCTCCTCCTCCTCCTCGTCCTCCTCCTCCTCCTCCTCCTCCTTCTCCTTCTCCTCCTTCTCGTCCTCCACGTCCTCGCCCTCCTCCATCTCGTCCTCCTCATGTTCCTCCTCCTCCTCCTCCCCCTTCTCCTCCTGCTCCTCCTCCTGCTCCTCCTCTCCCCCCTCCTACTCCGACGACGACGACTCCTCCTACATCCTCCCCCTCTTGGGGTATATGGCGGCTTACCCCGCCCTTTGTTCTTCTGCATGTTCCCCCGCTTCCCTCATCACCTCCACTCTCCTGGGGTTCATTTCTGGACGGGTTGGTGGGGATTGTTTTCGGTCGCGGCCGCGAGACGAAGGTCAGGCGGCAAGGGCAGCTGATGGGGATACTTTTTTTAACGGCCGCAGACGGAAGCGCCAGCGGCGGGCAGTCACGGTCGGGCCGCGGCCGTGGCTAAATTCCCAAGCGCGCGCGGCGCGGCTCAGGCAGCGGGGCAGCAGGGCGTGCAAATCCAGGGAGTCTGCAGGGCAGCCCCTGAGGTGAACATGCAACGGCACAGCGCCGGGCGCGCGCGAAGCCGCGGCCAACGGCGGGCGGCAGCCCAGGGCGGCACCGACGTGCAATCCAGGAAGTCTGAGACAGCCCCAGGACGGGCATGCAACGGTACATCCAACGAGCCAAAGGACAGGCAACGAGGAGACCAAGCGCAGCCAAAATGGCGCGTGAGGCGTTCCCAGAAGTCCAGATGCGAACAGAAAGGAACGTTCCCGAGGACACCGATCCAGGGAGTCTGACAGGTGATACAGACTGACTGGGGACATAAGTCCAGCGGAAAATCCTGACGGCGACACCATGTCGCGACGCCAGAACGCGCATCCAGGGTGTGGAGCATGCTGACAGGAGAACCTTCCACAACTGAGATGCGTCAGCCCAGATCCAACGAGTGGAAGGGCGCCGTAGTGCACGATACACGGTCGACAACGTGGCGTGTGCACATCCAAAGTGTCTCAAAAAATCCAAACAACACAAACAACAAAGAAACATCCAAAGAAAAACCAAAAATCAACTCAATATCAACATCTCAACCTCCCAAACACACACAACCACGACAACATCTCAGAAAACAGGGACAAACAAAAAAAACTCAAAAGAACACAAAATACAAAAACTAACTCAATGAAAAAGAAACAAACAAAAAACAACCAAAACCTCAAAACACCCGTGAGTAACCCAGAACGAGTCGGACAGCACCCGGGGGACGAGACATTAGAATACCCAAGACGCATCCCTCAGAGCCACTACGACCCAGGGTCACGACGGGAGGCCGTTCAGCATAGGAGTTCCCGAGGACAACGATCCAGGGAGTCTGACGGGTAACACAGACTGACTGGGGACATAAGTCCATGGGGAAAATCTGACGGCGAATCCAAGTCGCGACGCCGGAACGCGCGTCCAGGGTGCGGAGCATGATGACAGGAGAACCTTCCACAACTGAGATGCGTCAGCCCAGATCCATCGAGTGGAAGGGCGTCGTAGTGCACGATACACGGTCGACCACGTGGCGTGTGCACATCCGCTGGTGGGGATACGCGAAGCGTTTAGAATTGCATTTGGGCCTTCAGTGGAATTCCCTATGGGGCGACGATGCGTAGAACGGGTGTCCCCACATGGGCGCGGTGGGCGCACGCGCGCATGCGAGCGCCGGCATGTGGGGGGGCCACAAAACGTGTGAGGGGTGTGCCACAAGAGGTGCGGTGGGCACATGCAAGCGCTGGCAGTTGTGCCTTCGGCGAGGCTCTTCATGGAGACACGAAGCGATGTAGGGGTGTCCCAAAAAAATGGTCGCGGTGGGCGCATGCGAGCGCCGGCCGGCATATGAGCCTTCGATGGAGCTCCCTTAAGACCCACGAAACGTAGGAACGACGTGCCAACATTGGTACGGTGGGCGCATGCGAGCGCTGGCAGCGGGCGGGGCCTTCGGTGCAGCCCCCTACGGGGCCGCAAAACGTGCGAGGGGTGTGGTACCAAAAAAAAGTCGACCTCCAGACCCTCCCGACACTCCTTTCGCGTGCTGGGGTCCCGGACCGAATGTCGAAACCAGCGATTGCTGCCTACGCCGCCCGCAGGCGTGTTCGGGTGGGCAAGGCCATCGGCGAACCGTGGCGGCCTTACGCGTTTCGCCCGACTCGTCGGCCGCTTGCCGCTCCGCTTCAGAAGCCGCTGCCTGCTAGGCGCTGCAGCTGGCACGGCGGCAGGCACGCACGGCGCAGCTTGTGGGCGGCCGGTTCGCGAGTTGGCCGGCCCGCGCGCCGCGGCGAAGAGGTCGGTTTGCCGCGGCGGTTTGCGCGCCTCAGCGGAGATCGTTTTCGGCGTCCTGGCGCCGAGCTGGCGCCTCGACCTGCTGGCGGTGACAGTGCTCGCGCCGCTGTGGCATGCTGCCAAGGCCCTCCGACGCTGGCGGTTCCCTGGCGATCTCTGGAAGGAAGCCGCGGGCGCCATGGCTGCCGGGCAGGCCAGCGCTTCGGCCCGATCGCCGCCGCGATCCGCAGCATGGCTGAGCTGCACCTGGGCGCGGATATCGAAGCCTGGATGGGCATCCCCGCCGCCCCAGACGGCTGGCGCCCAGCAGCCCGCGCCCTTCCTGCGCGCGGTGTCGTTGGAAGCCTGGGGGCGGCGAGAGACCCGCGATGTCGCGCGGCGCCGGGCCGATTTTTAAAGTTTGGTGGGGGGGATAGACCGCTGGGCGACGCGCCAGCTCCTGGAGCCCGGGAAGCTGGCACCTGACGCCGCCAGCGCGCTATGGACGGTGATCTCCGGCAATGTGATCACGGAGTCCGTGGCGGCAAAATGGGGGCGGCCGCCAGCGTGCCCTCATTGCGGCGCCGAGGTGGGGGACCTCGA